TTAAAACTTCTGTTGAATGACAATTTAATTGTATAATAAAAAACATCCAATCTGATTGGGGAGGTGAATATCGCTAAATTTTTACACTCCTAAGTCATATTTGAATTCATCATTGTAGATATATCCATACACTTATTAGCAAATAAGTGCTATTGAATGTCATGATAAATAAATTGTTGAAGTTGGTCTTTCATCACTTCTACATTCTAACCTTCCGCAACAGTTTTGGGAAGATACTTTTATCACGACCACTTATATTATCAATTGTCTTCCTACTTCTATTTTTAGTAAAAAAATCTTCATATGAAATTGTTTATCATCATACACCTGACTATCATTTCCTTAAAGTTTTTGGTTGTACATACTGACCTTATTTTCGATCATATAACAAACACTAAATAGATTTCAAATCTAAAAACTGTATTTTTATTGGTTATAATTGGAACCCTCATGGTTATAAATATCTTGATCTTGCAATAGGTAAAGTTTATGTATCTCATCATATTGTTTTTGATGAAAATAATTTTCCATATAAAAGTCCTGCTCAAACACCTTTTATTTGTCAAGACTTTAATTTCATAGTGATACCATTTTCAAATACCATATCTCCTTTATCACTAACATCTGCAAGTTCTCAGGACTTATGCCTATCAATATCTCTATTCTCTTCAGATGTGGCACATCAACCACCAATAGGTACTTTCCCTAACTCACCTCGCATACCAATCCTAAATCCAATGGTAACTAGATCTAAAAATAACATTTTCAAATAAAAAAGAACACATGATGGTAAAACTTTATACCCTCTTCCCTAAGCACTACATGTCTTTAAGTCTCCATCCTTTAGAGAACTTACTTCATTTAATGAAGTCTCCGAATCTTATCACTGACGATCTGCGATGAATGCTGAGTTTAATGCCTTGCTACGAAATCACACTTAGAAACTGGTTCCTCTATCATGCCATTTTAATGTCATTGGTTGTCGCTGGATTTTAAAGATCAAATGACAAGTTGATGGCTTAATTGAAAGGTATAAAACCTAGTTGGTTGCTAAAGGTTACAATCAGCAACTAGGGGTGGATTTTCATGAAACTTATAGTCCAATTGTAAAACCTGTAACTATATGACTTGTTTTATCTATTGTAGTATGTAACAATTGGTCAGTTCGTCAACTAGATGTCAAAAATATATTTTTTCACGGTAATTTGACAGAAGTGGTTTACATGGACCAACCTCTAGTTTCAAACATCCTTAGTTTCCTGACCATATGTGTAAGCTTAAACGCTCTTTATATGGACTTAAATAGGCACTTTGCCAGTGGTTTTCTTGCTTTGCTACTGTGTTGATACAATTCGGGTTTATTAATAGTAAGACAAATTTATCACTCTTTGTGTATGCTAGAACCTTTAGCATCATATACATCCTTATATATGTTGATGACATTATTATCACTAGCTCTAATAATACAGCTATTATAGATATCATTCACCTACTATAATAGGATTTTGCTATCACAGACCTTGGCTCTTTAACTTTTTTTAGACGTTGAAGCTATCTGTGATGGTACATAAATAAATCTCACTCAATGTAGATATATTGTTGATCTTCTAATAAAATAAAAAATAAATGGCGTCAAGCCTTGTTCCACTCCAATATCCACCGATATGGTGTTGACAACCACTAATGTTGCACAATTTGCCTTCATTATCTCTCTTTCACTCGACCTGATATTGCCCTGGCAGTCCATCATTTTAGTAAGTTCATGTATTAACCAAAACAATCACATTAAAAATATATAAAAAGAATTTTGCGCTATCTCAAACACCCAATCTCCTACTGTTTATTCTTGTCTTGCAGAAGTTTCTTCACATTTCAGGCATTCTTTGATGTAGATTGAGAAGGGGACACATATGATCGCCAATCTATTGGTGTTTATTATGTATTTCTTGGATCTAATTTAATCTTTTAGCATAGTAAATAACAAGCTACAGTTGCTCGTAGCAGTATAAAAGCAGAATACAAGGCTCTCACAGACACTGCTGCCAAAATCTAACGGTTACAATCTTTAGCTATAGAACTTGGTTTACAACTATCTTAAGGACCCACTTTTTGGTGTGATAATATTAGCACCACGTATCTATCCTCTAATCTGGTATTTCATGCTCGAATTAAACACATCAAGAGTGACTTTCACTTTGTTAGAGATCTTGTTGTCCAAAAATAATTGACTATCAACTTATTGTTTAGTTGTGATCAGCTAGCCGACCTCCTTACTAAACCACTCTTTACTATATGATTCAACCTTTTGTGCTCTAATCTCAACATTCGTGATCTCCTATTCAGATTGTAAGGGTGTGTTGAAGATATTATCAAATCTATTAACGATAATATTGATATTGAAGATAATATCAAATCGTGATCATATCTATATAAGAGATTACTGATACAGAAGATAATCATGATCATATCTGCAAGAGATATTTTAGGAATCAAGTGCATATCTTATCATTCATTGCATCCTTAAATATAATATTTTTTAATCAAAGGATTGTAATATACATAGAACTTTGTAACATATGTAGGACTCTAATGTAACAGTAATTAATAAGTTTTTTTGCAAACTATTCTGCAACACTTATACACAATTCTCTCCTTATTTTCTCATTTTTGGACGGTATTAAAGCCACTGACTCATGTCACACAAATGACTTCTTCTTAACAAATATTTTTTATACTGCCACCAATGGTAATCCTTCAAGATAACCCAACATAAAGAAAACCAAAAACATTACAAAGCTCAAGGTCCAATAATTTAATGCAAAATAATGAAATTAAAAAAAAATCAACCTTATAAAAAAAATTTTAAAAAAAAATCTAAGTTAACTGAGTTTACTTGACTGACTTATTATTTGGGACATAAGATCAAAATAATTCAACCCAAAAAAAGTGGAACAAGCAATGAAACCAATAGCATAATAAGCAAATGTCAAATGATGGATTTAAAAAAAAATTAATTTTTAATATACAACCCCAAAAAAGGCTAAACTTAATTGAGCCCTAGTCATGAGATAATAATTATTCTGTAAGAAGGCAATCATAAAAAAATAACAAATTGCCCTAGTCATGAGATAATAATTATTCTGCAATCATAAAAAAACAACAAAATAAAATTTTTAATTGTAAAACAATTTTAAACTCAAACAATATGGACCAAAATTGATATAAAAACAAAATGAAAGAAAGTGATTAGGGGTTAAATTGAAAAAAAAATAAATTAAGAAAAGAATAAAAAAAACATAATTGAAAGAATGAGAACCAAAATTGGACAAACAAACAAAATGAAATAAAATGTTAAGGGAAAAGATAAAAATAAAAAGATAAATTAAGAAAAGGATAAGAAAATAGAAATCAAAAGAATACGGACTAAAATCGGATTAAAAAATGCAATAAAATAGTAAGGGATAAAATTAAAAAAATAATAATCAAGAAAAATATATGAAACATAAAAAAAACAATACAAAATAAGAGAACCAAATCAGATATATAAATCAAATGGAATAAAATACCTAAGGACATAATTGAAATAAAGCTAAACTTTGAAAAATATCAAAATCAAAATAAATATAATTAAAATAATAAGGGCCAAAATTGATAAAATTATAATTGGAAGACACAATTATTTTTTTGGAAGGGTTGACTTGAATTTCAAGGGCATGAGAGAGGAAAGAAAAAAAACTTCATCAAAGCTCAATCAGACCTCCACCTAAAAAGCATAAGGGTTAATGTGTGCGTTGCATGAATCAATAATTTTTTAATAATATTTAATTACTTAAAATTACTAAACAATCCCTAACTAAATCCGAACACTGTAAAAAAAGAAAAAACTAGAATGAAAAGACTAAAACACCCTTGAAAGCAACCTTAATATTTTTTAATTCAAGAGTAATTTCATAATTGAATTGTTAAAAAAAAATGAAGAAGATGAAGAAACTCCTTTGTGCTCTCCCTTTTTTTGTTTTCTCTTAAGGGTATACCAATAACTTTATTGTGTAATTTTATTTAAAGACAAAAGAGCTTATGATTGAAAGTTTAATATTATTTTTTTAGTTTTCAATGGAAAAATAGTTATTTTATTGTGATAAAAAAATGTCAAAACCAATTTGTCCCTAATTAAATTTATAATGACTAATGGATTCTCTGCAAAAATAATTCTACCTCTAATTGCAAGTTTTTTTGTTCAATGATATAAGTATCATTTGACAGTTTTAATAAACAGTAAAATGTGACTATAGCTATAGTATTTTACTGATTTTTTTCCCCTTAATATTCAAAGCCATCGGTAGAATACGTACTAGGTTGTGGTTAGATAGTAGCATTATAGGATTATCATTTCGAGGTTACTTTGTCCACGGGATTAGGGTACATGAAAGTGATTTGATTGGGTTGAAAATGTGTTAAAAGCTGTTCTAAGCCCAAAAAAAAGAGAGTATGTTTCCTCTTAGTAGGCAAAACGATCAATGTCAAAGTGTTGTACTTAGTACTTATCTTTTAGTCCACCAAGGGGGTTTGATTTGTGGTATTTCCAAGGATTTCTTAATTAGCACTCTTTTCACTCACTAAAGTCGTCAGTTCTTGTTGATTAATTCAAGTCCTCTTATTGCATGTAGCGAAGGCTCTTCTCAGTTCACTGTTCCTTACCACAAACAATGAGTGAAGAATTTAACTAGTCCAAAGACCAATTTCCTTGATCATTTCATGTTTAGTAATGTTCATTTCAATTCAATTTTGTCCTGTATACCATATATAAAATCAGAAAGAAAACATTAATGTAAAGTTAATTGTTTTATACAGGCTTATATATCCACGTCATGACCTCTCTTTATATTTTAGGGGGAATGAAATATTTTAAACTCATATTTCTTAAATAGTTAGCCTAATTAATTGTCTCAAACTCGATTAATTGTTGAGGATTCGGATACCATAATGGAAGATTAACTTCTTAATTTAAGAGGTGTTAAAAAAAAATTGTATTTGTGAAATAGGTAATGCTATTAGTTTTACAGAAAGATTTTAAAAAAAATCTCATTAATTAATTAATTCATGAGTTAATGGATTTCAAAAACTAAGAATTATAATTCTTACAAAGTAATTTCAGAAAAAATTTAGTAACATTATCAAACTTAATCTTGTTAAACAAGTCAATCTAATCTTAGATCGATCTAATTTTTAATTTTAAATTAAATTTAAAAAAAAATAATCTAATCTTAGATCGATCTAATTTTTAGTTTCAAATTAAATTTGAAATTTTTTTTAATATTTAATTTGATTTGATTTAGTTAGGTTTACAAGTAAACTGTAACTCAATCAAAATCTATTTTGATTATGCAAAATTGAAGATTAACTTTTCAATTTTAATTTTAATATGTGTTAAAAAATATATATATTTGTTAAATAGGTAATGCTATTAGTTTTGTAGAAAGATTTGTTTAAAATATCTCATAATTAATCGATTTCACTGGTTACAATTTCTTACAAACTAATTTAAGAAAGATTTTAGCATAATTATTAAACATACTTTTGTTAGATGAGTCAATCTAAGATTAGACCAACTTAACTCTTGATGTTAAATCAAGTTTTTTTTTCAAAAAATTAGCTTGAAATTGATGTGATTTAACTTAGTTGACTTAGCAAAGCAACTATAACTGACCAAAATCTAATTTTTCCAAACAATGTTTTTTTTTTTTTAAATAATAACCTGTGTCAATTATAAATCTAATTTTTCCAAACAATGTTTTTTTTTAAAATAATAACCTGTGTCAATTATATAACTAGAGTATGGGTTTAATAAGTGTAGATTTTAGGTAAAGGTAGCATTTTCCTTTCTCAAAATACATAATAGTTTCATATAGCAGCTCAAACTTTTTTTTCTTTGATTCATTGGAAGATCTAACAGGAGATAACCCTCCCTTTTATACTATTATAATCAAATAAATTGCAATTAATTGGATAATCAAAGAAATTATTACAGATACACGACAGCTACGCTCAGAATCTTCATAAAGATAAAAATATGTAAAGGTCAATGAAAACTAACGTACAGAACAAAACTGTGCATCCAAGCGAAAACAATAAGACAATAATCCCACATAAACATTCCCCGAAATCTCCAGTTTATCATAATCTCACCAAGCACAAAGCATCCCTGTCTTGGTGGGAGCTCTTTCACCTTGCATTTCTCCTCCTCAAGCAACGGCTCATTTTCCATGGGGTTGACTAGATTAATTAATTAAAGGAACAGGAAAAAAATTTATCACTGAGACAGCCATTAATGGGCTCGAAGCAATTGGCTATTGAAAGTGACTGTGAATGGCCATATAGGGGAACACCAAGAGAAGAGGCCGGGGATGGGACCAGAAATCAAACAGTTGCTGATCATATCTTATTGTATTTTTGTTGAGGCATGGCCATGAATCAATTCCAATGCTAATATTATACTAGATGTTAATTCTTTGGCCCACATCATTTCTCACACAACACACAATCCCAAATATTTTTTGCCCTAAGGTTTTCAATTATACAAAAGCATGTTGAAACGAAAAAGCTCAAGTGTTGCATGGTCTAATTTATTACTAAACTCATAGAGGATTAGCCTAACAAGTGATTGTCATTGCTTGTATGGATTTTGTGGCATAACCGTGACTGATTCAAATAAAACTACAAACATAATTGACATATTAATTACATATGATGGTTACATAATGTAACTTACATTATTTTCCTTTCATAGTTGTTGATGGACCCTCCTTAATTAATGACTAATCGTAAATCTGATCACAATCATGTAGGAGGAATCTGTTTAATTAATGATCATCTTAAAGTAGAAATCTGGAGGCATGCATGCATGAATGTCCTAGCCGGCGCCGGCAACTTGTCTTGCGGTGTTGCTGCTACAATTTCCATAGATTTTATGAAAAATATATGCTTAAAGGTATACGTACATGTGCTAAACAAAAAAGAAGTGCACTTTACTCCATAAATCGTCTCAAAGAAGATATATATATATATATATATATATATATATATATATATATATATATATATATATATATATATATATATATATATATATATATATATATATATATATATATATATATATATATATATTTCCCTTGATTGAACTCTAAGGTACAATCCATTTTCTTGAAGATTATGGATACCAATTTTCATTTTGACTTAATCTTATTAAATTATTTTTTCTCAATATAATTGTTTTAAGTCATAATTTCTCACTTTAGGTGGAATTAGTCCATTAGAATTGATTCAAAATAAATGAGAAAGTTCGGAGATGCTTTTATAATGAACTTGTGTATTTTAAATTGGTAAACACAATTTTTCCCACAAGATTTTCCCTCTCAATACAAATATTTCTCTAGGCGTACTACTATTTTACTCGGCAGAATTTTATATTACTTATTTTTTCTGTCTTTTTAATACGTCAAATAATTTATTTAAAATTTGATTATGGAAAATCTATCAAAAATAATTAACTTTTCTTGTTATAAAAAAGCTGGTCTAACAACGCCTTTAATAACTTGTGAACAACATTTTAATTAATAAATAATAAAACTTGAAAACCAAGCTTTATTATATATTTAGTTAGAAGTAATCAATTTTAATCACAAATACTTCACCACCACCGCCACCACCAATTTATCTCTTAAAACAATTAGTATAAACTCGGACACCAAGCTTTGTTAGTTTACTTAGAATTAAAGTGTCGGTTTGAAGATTATTCGATGCTTAACAAACTAATCTGCTTAAGAAACTAATCCACTCCTTTTAACCACATCAAATTTTTAATTAATTTTTCTTAACAACACCCGTAGCTCTAATAATCCCAGTTTCACCAGATGTTTCCTGTCCTCACACCTCTTTTTACGATTGAAATCTTCTTTTGCGTAGACTACTCCGAACAATTTTCTTGTTTTCCTTGCTAGCCAAGCACATATATAACGATGATGATGATTATTTTTCCATATTGTTTTTTCAACTACTACTAATTTCACTGAAAAAAATCCCATTTATTGTAATAATGACTCACTCATGATCCAATAGATGGAGATATTTAGGTTTATTATGAAATTGCGAAGCCATTTTCATTAAAATAAGTTTTTATCCTTCTTTGATTTGAGTTTAGGCCCGATAGTATTTTTGAGTCATCAATAGTTCTAGCCAAAACTATGTTCATCTCTTCAGTTATGTCATTTTCTATAATATGAGATAACATAAAAAAATATTACTTATTTTGCTTTACACCATAGTGTTGATCAAGAAATCAGAATCTAGAGCTTAATTCAAGTCGAGCTTTTAATTAAACCAGATAAAATATTAAATAACATATTAATCTAGACTCTATTTTGAGTCAGTCCTCCAGTAAGTTATAACACTATGCTTTACCCTATGATTATTTCTACATTATCACTTTTAACTTGGCTCAAAAGAAGAGTAGAATTGGAAACCCAAGTAAAGCAGGGAAGAGTAAAAAAGAGTTTCTTAATTGAGGTATACCTAGGAAAATAAAATTAATAACGAAATATAATTTTTTAGAGACTTACAATTTATCCTTTTGTTTACACTATTTGCTTAAACATGTTGCGTGTTTTTGTATGTGTAGTGGGTTACAGGCAGTCACTTGGATTTTTTATTTTATTTTTTTGTTTTATATAAACCCCATACTCCCTCCCCTTCATTTCACACCAAACAATATAGCCCTACTTGCTACAATTGCCATAGTTTCTTCCTTCTCCTTGTCTCCTCCTAAATTTCCTTTCTTTCACTTCGTTTTTCTATATATTAAAACCATGCCTGAAGAAGCTCCTATGAAAAACTTGGTTTGTGAAAAAAGTAGAAAGGCTTTACAGTTTATTGAAGATGTTACACGTAATGCTGATGAGGTGCAAAGCAAGGTTCTTGCTGAAATCCTCTCTAGGAATGCAAATGTTGAGTATTTGCAGAGATATGGCCTGAAAGGAAACAAAGCAGACAGAGAAACTTTCAAGAAAGTGATGCCTGTTGTCAGTTATGAGGATCTGAAGCCAGATATTGATCGTATTGCTAATGGCGATACTTGTCAAATCATATGTTCCCAGCCCATTTCAGAGTTCTTGACAAGGTGATGATTCCATCAACTTAGCTTCAGAAGTTTGTGTATATATATATATATATCGTGTGTGTGACCTGGTGCTATTTGATGTGTAGTTCTGGTACATCTGCTGGAGAAAGGAAACTGATGCCAACAATTGAGGAAGAGCTGGGAAGAAGATCATTGCTATATAGCCTATTGATGCCAGTGATGAATCAATTTGTTCCAGGTTTGGATAGAGGAAAAGGGATGTACTTTTTGTTCATAAAATCAGAAGCTAAGACTCCTGGAGGATTATTGGCACGTCCAGTTTTAACTAGCTATTACAAAAGTTCATACTTCAGAGATAGGCCTTATGATCCATACAACAACTATACTAGCCCAAATGAAACCATTCTCTGCCAGGATTCTTACCAGAGTATGTACTCTCAATTGCTTTGTGGCCTTTATCAAAACTATGATGTTCTTCGAGTCGGTGCAGTCTTTGCTTCTGGGTTCATTAGGGCAATTAAGTTCCTTGAAAAACATTGGATTATGCTTTGCAATGATATCCGGAATGGAACAATTGACCCCAAAATAAGTGACCCTTCAGTAAGAGAGGCTGTTTTGAAAATTCTCAAACCCAACCAGAAACTAGCTGATTTTGTTGAGGCTGAATGTACCAGAGAGTCGTGGAAAGGGATCATAACTAGGTTGTGGCCTAACACCAAGTATATTGATGTTATTGTCACAGGGACAATGTCACAGTATATTCCTACACTTGACTATTACTGTGATGGCCTCCCCCTAGTTTGCACCATGTATGCTTCTTCTGAATGTTACTTTGGCCTTAACCTGAATCCTTTGTCCAAGCCAAGTGAAGTTTCTTACACCCTCATCCCAACCATGGCCTACTTTGAGTTCTTGCCCGTGAACCGAAAGAATGGACTTATAAATTCAATCACTGCACCGACATCCCTTGATCAGAAGAAAGACGAGGAATTGGTTGATCTTGTTGATGTCAAACTAGGTGAAGAATATGAGCTTGTTGTCACCACCTATGCAGGTAAGCAGCGAAACCCTTTCCACAATACATAAATTGCTAACTTCTTGACAGAATATTAAATTGCACCATTTTGGCCTTAAATGAAATTGATAACAATTTTTTTTTTCAGGCCTTTATCGGTATCGAGTGGGGGACATACTTCGTGTGGCT